GATCACTTATGTAACAAAACATACTACGTAAGGGAGGAAGTAAGTTTTCCTCAACCGTCCTCAGGTCCCTGGCTGGCTCCGAAAAACTGAACTGACAAAGAGAAAAACAGAAGAAAAATGTAGACATTTATTTAATAGAAGGTTTATGTGACATGGTGCCTTCGTCAGGAAATGAAGACCCCAAGAAACAGCTAACCCTGAGTGGCTTTACGCCAGGTTAGTGAAGAGTGGACCGGCCCCGAGACACGTGATAGGGCAGAGTACGAGGTCAAGTGCCGTAAACTCGGGGAAATTCAGCACGCTCCGTTAGTTTGGATTCTTCCCGGCATCCCTCTGCCCTTAGCAATAAGGACACTCCTCTGCTCCCAGAGTATGGAGGCACCCCTCACATCAGGATTTTATGAGCTGCTTCAGGGGAGAATGGCAGGGAGGAGGTGAGAGGGACCTTCCTGATTCCGCCATTTTTTTCAAACTCCTTCAGCTTAAAATACCCAACACGCCAGAGCGCCGTATTTGGGGTAGTGCCCTGGCTACTGTTCCTACCTGTTCCATTCAGGTAGTCCTTGGCTAGCTCAAATAGCCGGAGGTGCATGTTGGTAATAGGATTAAAGGAACCACAAGCAAGGAGAACCACTTCTGTCTTCTCTGAATTTTCCATGCTAAGAATTTGAAGTTGTTGATCTGAATGGAAAACTCTGACACTTTGCTTGTGGTCTGCAAAGGAAGAAGGAAAAAAGTTCAGTTCTAGGTCTTTGGACGTCTTTCCACCTTCCAAGTGGATGGACAAAACCCTGTGGCTTCAATGACAAAGACAGCCCCATTCTCCACCCTTCCTTTTCAGGGTACATTTGCAGCTCCTGCTGTACAGGGATGGGATCTCCTTCCCCCACCTTGTGACTTGCTTTGGACAAAACAATGTGGCAAACATGACAGTGTGCTGGTTTTGAGCCAGGCCTTTGAGGCTTTGCACAGCTCCACACTCTTCTGGACGCCTGCCTCTGCCATGAAAACAATCCGGGGCCAGCCTGCTGGACGATGACAGACTGCGCAGGAGAGAGCTTGGACTCCTGTTGACGGACAGCCAACCACACCAGCTATGCGGCGGGGGCCACCCGGCACCGGCCAGACCACAGACGACATGCTCAGACACACAGGCAAGCCCTGGCGAGATCAACCAAGCTGGGCTTACATTGACAAACGCACAAGCTGACCCTCCACTCATGAGCAAAAATGAATGTTCTTTCTTGCACACTGCCGAAGTTTTGTGATGCACAACTAAGGTCACAGTTAACTGTTATAATGACATTATCAACTACCAAATAAATAGGACTCCCCGACAACCTGCCCTTCAAAACAGTGGCCTGGGGGCGCCTGGGTGGCTCAGTCAGTTGAGCCTTCGGTCATGATCCCAGGTCCTGGGACTCCAGGGTCCTGGGATTAAGCCCCATTTGGGCTCCCTGCTCAGCGGGGAGTCTACGTCTCCCTCTTCCCCTCCCTCTCCCCCTGCTCATTCTCTCTCTTTCTCTAATAAATAAATTCTTTAAAAAATATTAAGAATAAAATTAGGAATGCACTTCTTCATTGTTTCCTAGCATCCAACACTACTGTTGAAAGTCTAATGCCATTCTGACTCCTATTCCTTTTTTACATGATTTTTTTCTTTTTGGCAGGTTTGTGGGAGGTGCCCCAAAGTGGCATAATGTGGTATCTTTGTGGGGGTCTTTTTCATTCCTTGTGCTGGGAGTCCGTTGCAAGGGTTCAGAATACCACTCTGGCATGTGGATTATTTTTTTTTTTTTTTAAGATTTTATTTACCCATTTGACAGAGATCACAAGCAGGCAGAGAGGCAGGCGGTGGAGGGGGAAACAGACTCCCTGCTGAGCAGAGAGCTCAATCCTGGCTCAATCCCAGGACCCTGAGATCATGACCTGAGCCAAAGGCTTAACCCACTGAGCCACCCAGGAGTCCCCATGCGGATTATTTTGACTGGAAGGCAGTTGAGACCCTGCAGGCTCAAGAGAAACTTTTGTCCCTCCCTTAATTACATACAAGAATCTAAATTGGGGTCTTCCCCACAATAAGGGTCATTAGCAGAGATAAATTTCATCTGAGACCCAACCGTATGGCAGGACAATCCTCTAATGACCAAACATCCGCTCTTCTTGCTGCTCTGAGGCGCATTCCTTTCCTCTGGAGTCGTAGACCCCCGCTCCCCTCTCCTTAGTGCAGAATGACATAATGTGCTTCATTCTGCCTGTCTTTGGAATTTCCATGTCTCTGTGGATTCCCCATATGCACTCCATTAAATTTGATTTTCTCCACGTAATCTTTCTCATGTCAATCTGATTCCTAGTTCCCTAAGCTAGAAAGACCTGAGAGGGAAGGAATTCTTGCTCCCTGACACAATAAACCTTTCTATCCCTTGAAGTCAAACCACTCAGTTCCGGGTTATCTTTTTTGATCAACACTGCTTACTAACCATCAAAAAATAGTTTTGTTGTTATAAAGTTTTAAAAAATATTCTTACAGGGATGCCTGGGTGGCTCAGTTGGTTAAGCCGCTGCCTTTGGCTCAGGTCATGATACTGGGGTCCTGGGATCGAGTACCGCATCGGGCTCCTTGCTCGGCAGGGAGCCTGCTTCCTCCTCTCTCTCTGCCTGCCTCTCTGCCTGCTTGTGTGTACTCTCTCTCTCTGACAAATAAATAAAATCTTTAAAAAATATATATATTCTTACATATCCAAATGATGTTTCAAAGTAATCGTTCTGAGAGCTTATAAACATAATTCCAGTGACGCCGAATTGCTGAAAGCAATTTTGGGAACTTTGGGGAATGACTTGTAGAGGTCAGAGTATTTTTATAATTAACATAGAACTACAGTAAATGGCAATAAACAAACAGTTGTATGACACTTTTTGACATGTCAAATGGTTTCTTTCACACACATGATCATTTAACCTTCACCACGCAAACACACAAAAATTTGGCCAAAGTCATTTAACTTGTTACAAAATTAAGCTACTCTTAGGTATTTCATTTTTCCAGTTAATCTTCTACCATTGGACATTCTAATTTTTCAGTATTACAACATCTCAGAGAAAAAAATGGGTTGAAAACAAGATGGAAATTAAGACTATACAACACCTTGCAGTGCACTTCTCAGACTGGCCAGTGCTCGGAAGACCCGTGTCAGCATTCATTTGTAGCCCACTAGTGTTCAGACCCAAGTGCTAGGGTGACCAATGCACTTCTGCTCGGATTCTATGCCAGGAAGTGGCAGAACCAGGGCGAGCATCTCAGGTTCCTGACTCCTAGGCGCTCTCATCAAGAAGAAAAATGCAGGGGCACCTGGGTGGCTCAGTGGGTTAAGGCCTCTGCCTTCAGCTCAGGTCGTGATCTCAGGGTCCTGGGATCAAGCCCCGCATCAGGCTCTCTGCTCAGCGGGGAGCCTGCTTCCCCCTGTATCTCTGACTGCCTCTCTGCCTACTTGTGATCTCTCTCTGTCAAATAAATATTAAAAAAAAAAGGAAGAAGAAAAATGCAAGATACACTGAGTTGTGCAGAATGGAAATAAGCCCTCCTTGCTGAGGAGCTGAGGAATGTGAGGCATTGAGAACCCCTGAAGCTCTCTGAGCAATGGAATGACCACAGGATGGAACGACCACAGGGTTCTATATAAACAACCGCTTTAGAAAAATAAGATGTGGGTATTTAAAACCTTCATTTGGGGGGCGCCTGGGTGGCTCAGATGGTTAAGTGTCTGCCTTCGGCTCAAGTCATGATCCCGGGGTCCTGGGATCGAGTCCCACATTGGGCTCCTCCTCAGTAGGGAGGCTGTTTCTCTCACTGCGTCTCTCATGAATGAATAAAATCTTAAAAAAAAAAACAACAACCCACAAAAAACCCTTTATTCGATTTTACCAACTTAACCAAATCACTTCATTATGTGTCTTCAGTCTCCTCATCTGTCACATAGAGACAATGACAACCAATTCCAGTTACTCTGAGAATTTACTCTGATCAATGGCAAAGTGCTTCTCATACTGCCTAGCAGAGTGTAAAAATAAGTGTTAGCTGTTATTTGGGAGGAAAGTGACAATACTGATGATGGTGATGCTAGGGGATTACTTGGAAGGGGCAAAACAAGACAGAAAGGCCAGTTGAAAGTCATGAGTGCCAGGTACCGGGGTGGCTCAGTTGGTTGGGCATCTGCCTTCAGCTCAGATCATGATCCCAGGGTCCTGGGATCGAGTCCCACATCGGGCTCCTGCTCAGTGGGTAGCCTGCTTCTCCCTGCTCCTGTCCTCTCACTGTCACTGTCTCACTCTCTCCAATGAATAAATCTTAAAAAAAAAAAAGTCATGAGTGCCTTAATTTAAGTAGACAGTGAGAATGGAAATAAGAAATATTTATTCAATAAACATTTGAGGTCTTCTCCCAACAAAGCATATTGGTAGGGATCAGGGGGACACTAACGTTGTTAAGAAACGAAGGACAGAAAGGTCGGTAATGTTCCATACAGATTTTTTTTTTAAAAAGTGTTGATTCGTAGGAATAACGTCCTACCTTTCAATTATCGGCCTAAGGATGATGCCAGGGATCACTTGAGGCTCGTTCCCACGCCTCCCATTCCTATCCCCCAATTCCATACAAAGTGCCTATGGTATTACGGGGTGGTGGTAAATACATCTCCAAGAGTATTCTAGGCCCGCAGGGAAACCAGGGTAACTGGCCAGCCCCGCCCACCTCAAGTTTCAGGCACCACTCCTCTCTGCAACCTCCCCGCCCACCCCAGGATATTGAGCTGTGAGCAGCAAGGACAATAAAGCTAAGAACAGGAGGTATGGGTCCCCAAGGGAGCTGCCTGCTGTTCAGGAAGGACAGAACAAAGAGCGTGGAGCCCTTCCCTAACCTTAGGGATGCACTCAGGTTTCCAGGACCTCCCCAGCAGACAGACTGGGGAGGGGGCTCGGGGAAGCTGATCGCTCAGCTAAAGAAAGCTTTCTCCCTGGTCACATTCACAACGCATCTCAAATATCCAGCTCTGTTCTATTAATTCCCCGTGAACACAGCCAACTTGAGCTCGGACCTTCAAAACCACAGAAGAATTAAGCTACAGTGAGCGTCTATCGTAGCTGAAAACCACTTCCTCTGGGTCACTGCAGGGTACCAGAGTACTTGCACTGGAAAGGGGAACAAGCTGGGGACAGATGGGTGAAGAAGTGGTTTGGGAGCTCTAACAGGGATGCTCTGGATCCTGTGCCTTGCTCCAGGTGCACAACAACCAGCGTCCCCATGATTCACTTCTGTCTGGCCCACACGGTGTATCGCCTGCACTGCTGGCTGCCGAGATCGTACCGGCTCAGGCTGTAAGTGTCCCTCCCCAGCTTGCGATGACAAACAGCCCATTTCTTCCTGAGACAGTCTCAATGTTTAACTAAAATTTATTTTCAATTTTATTTATTTATTTAAATAATAAATAATATAAATAAATATAATATATTTATAATATAAATAAATAAAATAAATTTAATTATTTATTTATTTAAAATTATTTTCAATTTTTAAATCATTTTATAAAAAACTGAAGTATATCTGACATAGTAATTACTGACTTTAAATTTTAAAAACTGACACGTAAACATTAATGGAACATTGTATAAACATTAAGCCAGTTTTTAAAATGTTAACATTTAAAAAAAATAGTTAACTATCTTTTCTTGTCATCTCATAAATGCTCAATATGATTAAATCTATGTTGGCTGACTGTTAAAATAATGTGATTGACTTGACAAGTGATCGGAATTTATACCCCTGAAAAGATGCTATTCCTTCCAAAAGAGTCACATTAAGCCTATAACTATATCCTAGTTATAACAATGCATCATTACCAGTCCAGGAGTATATTTTTAAATTTTTTGGTGTGTGTGTGTGCTTTCAGTGGAGATAAATCTTTGTGTTTGGAGGGTAGATTTGATTTCTACAAATACCCTAAGGTCTTTCAGTGCTAAACCTGATTAATAAAATAATCAAGGTAAATAATACAGTTTACGGTGAAAAGAACTTATTAGTTATTGTGGAAGATTTTCTTATATGCATGGAAACTATGTATGCGTAATCTCAGAATTTCAAAAATGAGCAGAAACAGCAGCCTTCATGTGGTTGTATAAGCTGTGGTAGTTTGGGTTTACTGAGTCATGCTCAGTGCGAGCCGTCTGACCAGAGACAGAGCAAGCACAGTGCAGAGGTGTGGTTAGGACCCTCGGCCCTGGTTCACAGGTCTAGCTCGGTCGCTTCTCGCTACCTGTCCTTGGACAAGACGCTTCAACATTCTGAGTCTTGGTTTCCTCATTAATAAAATGGGGAACCAAAGTCCCCACCTCATAGCGTTTTGTGCATATTTTTAAAAAGATGTTATTTATTCATTTATTTGAGAGAGAGGAAAGAGACCAAGCGTGGGGTCAGGGGGAACAGAGGGCGACGGACAGAACCGCAAGCAGGCTCCCTGCTGAGCATGAAAGCTGACATGGGGCTCAATCTCGAGGCCCTGAGATCACGACCGGAGCCGAAACCAAGAGTTGGATGCCCAACTGAGCCACCCAGGTGCTCTGGAATTTATGCACATTAAATGAGAAAGTGAATAAAAAATGTTTGACACATTTGTCTACGAATGGTGAGTATTAACTTTTACTATTACTTGTGGGTTGTCTTACAGCATTAACTGACAGTCATGGTAAAGGAACGGAGGTTAAAGGTTCCTAAGAGACCAAGGACACCTGGGTGGCTTGGTTGGTTAAGCGTCTGCCTTCAGCTCAGGTCATGGTCTTAGGGTCCTGGGGTCGAGCCCTGCATCAGACTCCCTGCTGAGCAGGGAGCCGGCTTCTCCCTCCCCCTCTGCTGCTCCACCAGCTTCTGCGCTCACTCTCTCTGACAAATAAATAAAATCTTTAAAAAAAAAAAAAGATTCCTAAGAGACCAGTATCAACAGCACCTGGTGCACAGCAGGAGCTCAATGACCAGCAGCTACCGTTCGCAGGGCCATATGAGTAGACATAATTTGCTCTAATGGGATGATCCCAAGTTATCTTTATTGTTTAAAAACTTTACTTCCACTGTTTGATGTAACGTTATAAAACAGAACCTAAATTTTTTTTTAACATTTTATTTATTTGAGAGAGAGTGAGCAAGAGAGAGAGCACAAGCTGGGGGGAGAGGCAGAAGGTGGGGGGAAGCAGGCTCCCCACTAAGCAGGGAGCCTGATGCAGGGCTCGATCCCAGGACCCTGAGATCATGACCTGAGCTGAAGGCAGACACTTAGCTGACTGAGCCACCCAGATGCCCCCAAAATTTGGTTTCTTTAAGCCATTCTATCACTGAAGAAAAAATGTAAATTGTAACTCCGTCTGTCCCATGCAGACAAGTGACCGTGTTCTTGTTTGGGACCACCGCTCTGGGCCTCCAGTTGTTTGTTCTGCTAAGGTAAGCTCTCTCACCAGCTAACCCCATTACCTGGCAGCTCAGCATGACTGTCTTACCTCCGGAGATGGCTGGGGTGTGCTCGGAGACCCCCGCTCCGCGTCTAACCTCGGACTGCCCCATTGTTTTTGCCCCTATTGTCATTGGTAGTCACCTGCTTCACCTTTTTGAAAAGTCAATGCCAAAAGGATACTGGGGAATAGGGCAGGCTGAGTTTGACTTAACACAATTTCTTCTGGTACAATAGCCATTAAATGGGAGACAATGAAGGCACCAATGTTTCAAACCTTGGATGCCCTAGAGACCAGTCCTGACAGCCTCGCACGAGCTAACGTCTGCAGGGCTGAGGGTGACACAGGCATATGTGACCAGATTATGACTTGATACATTATTTCAGATTCTATGGAGGACGTTAGTCTTGGCAGAAAGAGTCAGCTAATAGTTGGACAAATGAAGCGAATGCCATTTGATACATTCAAAATAAAAAAATTGCAGCTCTAAAAATGTGGAAATCCTAAAACAATCTGAAAACCAAGAATCCACATGACAAGAAAGGGAAACTGTGACACTCACTGTAATTAGCCTAATTTAAACATGCCCACATCTGTTCTAGGAGTTTTGTGTGTAGTAAGGCCTATTTCCTTACTCCAGAAGGCCAGAATTTCCACAAGATATTTTTCTCACAAAAATATCCAGTTAACATGAATTTGAGAGATGGTAAGCATCATTTGTGCGACTGTAAATATGAACAACTCTTCATATCACTTGTGGGCTGGTTTTGCACTATTAACTTGCAGTTTTGGTAAAGGAACCAAGGTTCTTTTTTTTTTTTTTTTTAAGATTTTATTTATTTATTTGACAGAGATCACAAGTAGGCAGAGAGGCAGGCAGAGAGGGAGGAGGAAGCAGGCTCCCTGCTGAGCAGAGAGCCCAATGCGGGGCTCCATCTCAGGACCCTGGGATCATGACCTGAGCCGAAGGCAGAGGCTTTAACCCAATGAGCCATCCAGGCACCCCAGGAACCAAGGTTCTTAAATGAGTTGCCTGGAGCCAAATGAACCTCAGGCCAGAATTAGGATAAGAATTCAATGCTTAGTGCCTCCTGGTACTGTGCTTAGAGGGCAAATTTCTTCTAACAATTGATAAATTAATGTATGACCCAGTGTATTGATTTCAGGCCCACATCTTCCCGATACTGCAGGCCAACCTCTCCTCACCAACTTGGTTGGCAATATCATCTTTACTTTCTTCACAATTGGTAAGTAAGCATTTATCAAGCATGTACTAAGTGCTTATTATTTGCCAGACATTGCCAAAACAAAACTGGGTTAATATAGGACTTCCCACTCTTCTGGAGCTCAGACTGAAACTTAAGAAAAAATTCACATTTAAAATTCAGGTGAAGGAAATTTTTTATAAGTTCCTTAGTAACTGTTTTTGTTGTCCTAAAATTTAAGTATGAGGGGGCGTCTGGGTGGCTCAGTGGGTTGAGCCATTGCCTTCGGCTCAGGTCGCGATCTCAGGGTCCTGGGATTGAGCCCCACATCTGGCTCTCTGCTCAGCAGGGAGCCTGTTACCCCCTCCTCTCTGCCTACTTCTGATCTCTGTCTGCCAAATAAATAAATAAAATCTTCAAAAAAAAAAACCTATTAAAAAAAACAACTATGTCTAAGATTTCAAAAAAAATTTTTTTATAAGATTTTATTTATTTGACAGAAAGAAACACAGTGAGAGCAAAGCCCGATGTGGGGCTCAATCCCAGGACCCTGAGATCATGACCTGAGCTGAAGGCAGAGGCTTAACCCACTGAGCCACCCATGTACCCCATGCACCCCTATGCCTGCCTGCCTCTCTGCCTACTTGTGATCTCTGTCAAATAAATAAATAAAATCTTACATAAATTTTTTTTAGCGGTGCCTGGCTGGCTCAGTTGGCGGAGCATGCGACTCTTGATCTTGGGGTTGTGAATTTGAGCCTGTGCTCAGTGTAGAGATTCTTAATAAAATAAAATCTTTAAACAAATTTTAGGGGCTCCTAGATGGCTCTGATGGTTAAGCGTCCAATTCTTGATTTCAGCTCAGGTCGTATCTCAGGGTCATGAGATTGAGCCCTACATCTGCTTCTCTCTCTCTCCCTCTGGCCCTCTACGACTGCACACATTCTCTAAAATACATAAACAAAACTTAAAAAAAAATCTTAGATGGGGCGCCTGGGTGGCTCAGATGGTTAAGTGTCTGCCTTCGGCTCAGGTCACGATCTCTCGGTCCTGAGATTGAATCCCATGTCAACATACGTCAGTGGGGAGTCTGCTGCTGCTTCTCCCTCTGGCTATCCCCTCCACTTGTGCTTGCTTGCTCTCACTCTCTCTCTCAAATGAATAAAGAATAATTAAAATCTTTTTAAAAATTTTTTAAAAATCGAGGTACCTGCATGGCTCAGTCGTTGAGCGGCTGCCTTTGGCTCAGGTCATATTCCTAGGGTTCTGGGATTGAGCCCCACATCGGGCTCCCTGCTAAGCAGGAAGCCTGCTTCTCCCTCTCTCACTTTCCCCTGCTTGTGTTCCCTTTCTCACGGTGTCTCTGTGTCAAATAAATAAAATCTTTAAAAATAAATAAATAAATAAATGGAATAAAATCAAATAAGGGAATCGTGAAAAAAGGAGTCAGTTGTTTTTCTTCTTAAAGATTTTATTTACTTATTTGACACAGAGAGAGAGAGCACAAGCAGGGTGAGTGGCAGAGGGAGAGGGAGAAGGCTCCCCACTGAGCAGGGAGCCTGATGTAGGGCTCAACACCAGGACGCTGGGATCATGACCTGAGCCGAAGGCAGACGTCCAACTGACTGAGCCACCCAGACACCCCGCAGTCGGTGTTCTTATCACCAGCAATGCCAATAATAAGAACACAACCCATGTCAAAGGAAAACCTTAGCCTGGCAAGGTTTTGAGCATCTGTGTCCCACAGGAGGGAAGCGAGGAAACATCCTCTGTTTGATTTGCATTCAAGAATGTATTTCTGAGGGGCGCCTGGGTGGCTCAGTGGGTTAAGCCGCTGCCTTCGGCTCAGGTCATGATCTCGGAGTCCTGGGATCGAGCCCTGCATCGGGCTCTCTGCTCAGCAGGGAGCCTGCTTCCTCCTCTCTCTCTGCCTGCCTCTCTGCCTGCTTGTGATCTCTCTATCAAATAAATAAATAAATAAATAAATCTTTAAAAAAAAAAAAAAAAAGAATGTATTTCTGAGATAATCACACCCAGTAAACAGACAGTTCTGCTCTCCTTCTAGGTTTCACTGTGCTGCTTACGCATATGGAACCAGTCCCGCAGGCACTGAAGAAGATGTTTGCTGTATTTGGTGTGGGATCCTTTGGTGAAGGAGCCTGTACCGTGGTGTTAACAGTTTTGGCAACTGACTGTGTGTGTTTTTATTTTTTTTTTTATTAATTTTTTTTTTTAAGATTTTGTTTACTTATTTGTCAGAGAGAGAGAACAGCAGGCAGAAGGAGAAGCAGGCTCCCCGCTGAGCAAGGAGCTCGATGCTGGACTTGATCCCAGGATGCTGGGACCATGAACTCAGCCACCCAGGCACCCTGTGTGTGTTTTTAAATACTGAATTTCTCAAGGGCTCACCTTAATCTGAAAGCATGTCTGTATATAATAAACCATCAGTCTTCAATATTTATTTTCTCCTCACACTAAAAATAGAGATATGTAGATGCAGAATTCCTAATTAAACACGTCACAGTTAAAACATATCATCAGGGGGCGCCTGGGTGGCTCGGTGGGTTAAAGCCTCTGCCTTCGGCTCAGGTTGTGATCCCAGGGTCCTGGGATTGAGACGCGCATCGGGCTCTCTGCTCGGCGGGGAGCCTGCTTCCCTTCCTCTCTCTCTGCCTGCCTCTCTGCCTACTTGTGATCTGTCAAATAAATAAATAAAATCTTAAAAAAAAAAAAAAACCACATATCATCAGGGAACTTTAAAAATTCCATGAAAGATTTTTCTTTCTGTGGATGAAATCTACTTTGCTAGACTAAAAAGAGAGACGGGGAAGAAGAGAAAAGATAAGCCATCAATCAACAGTGGACGTGCTGGCCTGCACACGGCGCGGCGAGCAGCAAGCCTTCCATCTCTTCCTAAGCTGGTGCCACTGTTTAAATCCTTTGGCAAAAAAGTTGTAAATATAGGTTCCAACCAAAGACAAGTATTTCTCACAGTGCTTTTTCTTCCCGAATACAGGAAAAAACGACCCCTGAACTTTACTACTTGTCTGTGCTGCTGTCAGTGAGCAGCTTGGTTTCTGCAGGTAAGCAAACATCCCAAGTAGCCTCTCCTTGTCAAAGGCTTCGAGGAAGTCCTTGCTCAGCTAGAGCTGTCACAGTGCAAGGGAAGCCTGGTTCCTCCTAAAGCAAGAGCTCCACGAAGCAAAGGAGTAAAAAGCCATCCTTTTCACAGGATTTCCAACCCATTTAATTAGATCCCGTGCTTCATCCCACAGTGCTTTTCTCCAGCCTGGCGCTGAGCTGGCTGGTTAGCGTGGCCTGCGCACCACCAGACACTAAACCAATAGTCTGATGCTGGCACGTGAGCCCTCTGGTCTCCTGCCTCACACAGATGGCTCCGGCAGGTGAGCCTGTCCCAGCAGCTGCCACCTGACCGCTGCCAGCAAGCAGGAGCTCATCTCCTACCCTGCTGCTCTGGGTCAGATGGTCAGCTGACATCAGAGCTACAAAAACAGGAAGCACAGCAAAACCAGTCATCTGAAAGAAAGTTGTCTTGAAGTATCAATTAGCACTGACAACGGATAAAAAGGAACAGTTCAACCCAAATCACCGGACTGATATCACATGACAATTCACCCCACATAAAGATACTCTATTAAATACTTTCAAGATCGTGACATTGACTTTCTGAACCTCTGTTTTTGTTTCGTGAAACTATTACCGTCAGCTGGATGGATAAGCACTGAGAAGGAAGAAGTAAAATACAGGTCTTAGTAATGAACAAAGGTTTAGGTTTAATTTTAAGAGGATACAGGGATTTAGATGGTGTATTCAAACAATTCGTTCTTTAAAAATGTAGTGGGAAATTTTAGAGTAAAAATAACCACAATCTCCTCTACATGGGTGACACAATCTTCTGCATCAGGACAGTCAAAGTTGTCCAGAGAAAATAACTAAGTGACCAACATAATGTTTGTCTTCTTTTCCTGTGAGGTAGTTTAAGTAGAAGCTAGGTCATCACAGATGCTCTTAACGTTTTGAGGAAGTGAAGACAACTCTATTTCTTGAGGAAAAGAACTATCTGTTGGCAGGAAGGTCACATTCAATATAAACCTCTCCCAACACATCACCTGGGTGGCTCAGCCGGTTAAGTGTTGAACTCTTGGTTTCGGCTCAGGTCATGATCTCAGGGTCATAAGACGGAGCCCCATGTCGGGCTCCCCACTCAGCACAGAGTCTGCTTGGATTTCTCTCTCCCTCTCTCTCTCTGCCCCTCCCCACTGCGTACTCCCTCTTTCAAGTAAAAAAATCTTTTAAAATAAATTAATTAAATTTTAAAAAATTCTCCAGACTCTCTGAGAATTCCCTGGCTGGCTCAGTTCATAGACCTTGAAACTCTTGATCTCCGGGTTGTGAGTTCAAGCCCCACATTGGGCACAGAGCTTATGTTTAAAAATAAATTAGATAGGGGCACCTGGGTGGCTCAGTGGGTTAAGCCTCTGCCTTCAGCTCGGGTCATGATCTCAGGGTCCTTGGATTGAGCCCCGCATCAGGCTCTCTGCTCAGCAGGGGCCCACTTCCCCCTCTCTCCCTCTGCCTACTTGTGATCTCTGTCAAATAAATAAATATCATATTTATTTATTTGACAGAAAGAGACACAGCAAGAGAAGGAACACAAGCAGGGGGAAGTGGGAGAGGGAGAAGCAGGGTCCCCGCTGAGCAGAGAGCCCGATGCGGGCCTCAATCCCAGACCTTGTGATCATGACCTGAGCTGAAGGCAGGCGCTTAACGACTGAGCCACCCAGGTGCCCCTTATGATCTTCTTTTTTTAAAAAAAGATTTTATTTGAGAGAGAGAGAAAAACCGCATGCGCGCGGACACACATACGCACATGGGCGCGGACAGACACACATTCGGGCAGACAGACACACATGCACATGAGTGGGGGTGCAGGGACCGGAGTTCCCTGATCCGGCTCTGCTGGATCCTAGGACCCTGAGAACATGACCTGAGACAAAGTCAGATACTTAACTGAGGGAGCCACCCAAGCACCTCCCCCCCCAATTTTTTTAAAGTTTGTTTGTTTATTTTAGTAATCTCCACACTGAATGTGGGGCTCAAACTCACAACCTTGAGATCAAGAGACGATGTCTTTCTCACTGAGGCAGCCAGGCACCCATACCATCCCTTTTTCAAACAAACATGAGAAAACTAAAGCTGAAAGAGATTGATCAACTTGCTCAAGATTTCATAGTTCGTGTAACAACCTTGACACTAAAAATTCAGTCTTAACCATGACACAAGACTCACAATGGTACAAGCTATGTACCGATAGACATTTAAAAGAGGTCCTCCAGCAGCCACGTAGCACTGATCTACTTTCCCAGTTATGACTCCCAGCTCTGAAGTTATCTCCCCCCGGTGCTCTCACCAGTGACTACTTACTTAACATGTTATTCCTATTTTCCCAGTTTCTCCTCTTCCTTCCCCACACCCCTTCAGAGCCTGGATCCTGTCTCTGTTTGACAACTGGAACCCAAACCAATTTCTCTTAATTCTTTTTTTTTTTTTTAAAGATTTTATTTATCCACTTGACAGACAGAGATCACAAGTAGGCAGAGAGGCAGGCAGAGACAGAGGAGGAAGCAGGCTCCCCACTGAGCAGAGAGCCCGATGCGGGGCTCGATCCCAGGACCCTGAGATCACGACCAGAGCCGAAGGCAGAGCCCCTAACCCACTGAGCCACCCAGGCGCCCCCAATTTCTCTTACTTCTGCACTAGGAATATTTTTCATGATCCATTAACTCTAAACAAGAACCCAAGGGGCACCCCCAGCATAGAAGCACTGAATTGGATCAAAGCACTGACAAAGAGCCGGCAAACAGAATGCGTGGATCCGGTAAGGCCTGTCCTCCACAGCTCCTATGACTGCACACGCTAAACCAACCCAAACGCCTGAACAGGACATCAAATTATCCTTAGAATCAGGGGAAGGAGAGGCGCCTGGGTGGATCCGACAACTGGGCGTCTGCTTTCAGCTCAGGTCATGATCCTGGGGTCCTGGGATCCAGCCCGCATCGGGCTCCCTGCTCAGCGGAGAGTCTGCTTCTCCCTCTGCTCCTCCCCCTGCTTGCACTCTCTCTGTCTCTCAAATAAATAAATATATATTTTTTTTAAATCAGGGGAAACACGCAGTGAGCAAATGTCTATTTAGCAAGTTCTTCCAGTGGTGAAACAAGTGTATTTTTTCCGTTTTGTTTGGCACTGACCCTATTTGTCACTGAGAGTTCTGCATTAGCCAAAGCGACGCGACAGCAAAAATCGGAGACGATCCCGCTAACACAGCAGTCAGCTTACTTTCACAAAGAAGAAGCTGCGAACCCGAGTCGTTCTGCAAGGTACCGGAACTATTCCAACCGTGACAACGGTTTCTCCAAGTTGGGCTGCCGCAGCAGTGTCACCTCCAAACTGTAACTCTGAAAAACAGCGTTTTGGTAAGAAGTCCGAAATCCTACAATGAGAACTGGCAGAAGTCATTCTTCTTCTTCTTTTTTTTTTTTTCTTTTTTAAAGATTTTATTTATTTGACAGAGAGATACACAGTGAGAGCAAAACACAGGCAGGGGGAGTGGGACAGGGAGAAGCAGGCTCCCCGCCGAGCAGGGAGCCCGATGTGGGGGCTCGATCCCAGGACCCCAGGATCATGACCTGAGCCCAAGGCAGACACTTAATGACTGGGCCACCCAGGCGCACCCCCCCCCTGCAGAAGTCCTTCTTTCTGGCGGACCCCCAGGGTAACTCTAGCTGGAAGTCTATCTGGGGTGCCTGGAATCGAACTGGCCCGAAAGCCCACGTTCTCTGAAACGATTCTGCCGTCAACCCTGAGGTTGACCCGGAGGCTCGGGACTCAAGGAGCGGGGCCGGGAACAGCTGGGGAAACGGCTGCCGCCCCGGTTCTCAGTAGCTTTAAAAGAGCTGCCCGGCCGACAGCCCGCAGGGTCCTCAAGGGCCGTGAGCGTCCAAGCGCTTCCGGGAAAGGGCACTTGGTCTTCACGGATTTGGAAAGACGGATTTCCCAGGAGGGAAGTCTTTCAGAAAATGGAACACTTCCTCTTCCGCCCCTTCCCCCCTCCGCCACGCTCAAGAAACCTCTAGAAAGGATTTTTTTTTCCCCCAAGAGGAATCAGCTGTTCAGAGGACAGAGGGAAAATTACCGAGGTTCCGGCTCCACAGAAAGTTGGAAAGAATGAAGGCGCAAGACTCCTGCCCCAAACTGGAATATGACCTCGCCTCGGGGACCGTTATATCCGCCCCTCCAAGACTCCACCACGTTAGACTCCCTCAAGTTCCCGACAGAGAGTCCTGCGCTGACTCCCCTAGAGACTGGTTTCTCAGCGGTCTTAGCCAAGGGACTTACCATGTTCTCAGGGTCGACCCGCCCGAAGACCTCCCGGAGACGACCCGCGGCCCGGACGCCGGACAAGGGAACACCCATGGCTGCACCCTCATTGGCTGGTGGAGGCCGGAAGTGCATGCGTCCGCCGGAAGTGCTCCGACTGTGAGCGTCCGCCGGGCCAGGACCCTCAGGTAGGCGGGGCCCCTGGCCCCGATCTCTGAGACCGAGGCGGTGGCGCAGCCGGAGGGGGGACCCTGAGTGCCCAAGGGGGTTGTCCGGGTTCGGGTCTGGGAGGTCCGCAAGAGTTTCGGGGACGAGGGTTCATGGCGACCTCTGGTGGCAGCCGGGGCCTAGTCGAGCGCGGCCGCCGCAGGACCCAGGAGCCGGAGCTCCAAGTTCCGCCATGGACACAGGGTTTGGGGTGGTGGCCGGAGCTGCTCGGTGTCGCGTCCCGATGGTTGAGGTCCGTAGTTGCTCACGTCCAGCCGGGAAAACGTGTGCTCTCCGCCCTCCTCTTACCCGGGCTTCTGGCTTTGACAGCCGCGCTGCGGACACGTGGAGGTGCAGGGTTTTCCTCGGGAGCCCCCGCAGCCTCGCTAGGGGACACTTCCGCAAGGATGCCCTGCCCGAGGCGCCCTCGAGAGAGAAAACGGCGTCCGTCCCTCCTCGCCCCCCTCCGCCATCCCCCATGGTGTCTTCCTAGAAAGAGAAGGGTGCGTGTCGCACGCACGCTGCTCGGGGGGAGTTACGTGGACTGCTGTAGGCTAGTCTCTGGAAAGTAAATGAAAGTACTTGTTCATGGCTCCCTGTTTCCCAGCCAGCTCCTCCTCCAAGGGGGTTGCACTCTGAGCCTCTCGTAGTCCTGATGAACCATTTCGCTTTCCTCAAGTGTATGACACTCAGAACTTCAGCAGCGGGAGGCTTCGGCACTTTGGGACCGGCCAGCAGTGTGCAGAGTTCGAAGTCCTGAGAGACAAGGTGGGCATGAAGGGAGCGCCTCTTCCGCTCCAGGTGGCCGGTTTTGAAGGCTGTTTCGGCAGTTTCTGGGAAAGCTGCACCGCCTTTGTCGGAGACTAGGTGGTGCCAGCGAGTTAATCTTTCTGGGATAAATTTCAAATAACGGGCGGCACCAAGTTAAGGCTTTCAGAGGGCCCCCATCTTCTCTGAAATTTATGTAAAGTAGTTTCATCTCCTTAAGATATCTGGTGCCTTTATACGCTGTATCCGGTTACTGAGTATCTATTCTCTTTTTAGGGCTGAGGATGCTAAAAGGAGACATCAGACTCCTCTGCCAGAGTTTATAGACTGGAGAGAAAGACCAGTAAACAATGTGCTGTAATGAAATCACATATAAGTTAAGGCAGAAATAAGTGCTGAATGGAGAATAAGATGTGAAATGTCGTGGAAGAAGCAGTCGGCTCTCATTATTCATATACCACTTATTTTTCCAGTACTTTCTGTCTGTCCAGCATTATGCTGGATGCTGATGTATAAAGAAGAAGTGGGGGCATCTGGGTGGCTCAGTCAGTTAAGCATCTTCTTTGGCTCAGGTCATGATCCTGGGGTCCTGGGATCAAGCCCTGTGTGGCTCACTGCTCAGCGGGGAGCCTACTTCTCCCTTTCCCTGCCCCCCAGCTCCTGCGATCCCTCTAACTCAATAAATAAAACCTATTAAAAAAAAAAAGTAAAACCCCTAACTCAAAAATAACAATTTAGTGATTGGGAAGGAACCAAGAAAGGAAGCTGAACCTTGAGCTAGACCTTGAAGAATGGATTACCTTGGCTTGATAGGCAGAAAAAAAAATGGCTCAAAAGAGAAGGTAAAAATGTGTGGCACGTTTTGAAACAGCAAGTTTCAGCAGCATATACACTAAAATTGAGACAGCAAGTACTTCAGTGTGGTTAGACTGTAGGAAATTGAGCCCGAAAAATACTTTTTAGGTTTGGCTTTACTTTTACTGGAAAATTCAACAGCTATGAAATAAAGTTTAATTGTATGTTTCCCAGGAAGAATTATATATGAAGCATAGCTATAATAAATTATGTGCAATAAATTACACTTCTGGCTAACCTATTATATGTGAAATTACACTTCTGGCTATAATGTAGCTCATTTATATTTACATATCTTTAATCATTGTAGATAAGTCAATTTTATTTTATTTTATTTTTTTTAAGATTTTTATTTATTTGACAGAACGAGACACAGCAAGAGAGGGAGCACAAGCAGTGGGAGTGGGAGAGGGAGAAGCCGGCGTCCCACTGAGCAGGGAGCCCAATGTGGGGCTCGATCCCAGAACCCTGGGATTATGACCTGAGCTGAAAGCAGCCGCTTAACGCCTGAGTTACCCAGGCGCACCAATAAGCCAATTTTAAAAGATAAAGTAGTAAGAATAGATTTTCATTGATTATATTCTATTTTGAGTGTAATGTAAGGAATCCCTGTCATTGAAGTTCACATACCAGATCATCTGCTAATGATGATAATAGGATAATACTAGGAATAATCATAGGAATAAATGATAATAATAGGAAAATGTTAAGTGCTTTAATAAGTTACCCAAGGGGGGCGCCTGGGTGGCTCAGTGGGTTAAGCCGCTGCCTTCAGTTCAGGTCATGATCTCGAAGTCCTGGGATCGAGCCCCGCATCGGGCTCTCTGCTCAGCGGGGAGCCTGCTTCCTCCTCTCTCTCTGCCTGCCTCTCTGCCTGCTTGTGATCTCTCTGTCAAATAAATAAATAAAATCTTTAAAAAAAAAAAAAAAGTTACCCAAGGATTTAGGGTTTTTTGTTTGTTTGTTTTATTTTGGTTTGGTTTTTACAATTTTTATTTAAGTAATCTCTACACCCAACCTGGAGCTGGAATTCGTGATCCCAAGATCAAGAGTTGTACGCTCCACTGACTGAGCCAGCAGGCGCCCCAGGATTTAGGTTTTAATGAATGTTTATATCTAATATTAAGCAAAATGTGTTTCCTGAAAGGAATGTAAGTTCAATTTTTATAAATGGAAAAACTTAAATGCTATGAATGTTAAGGTAAATGTGTACATTATCAACACACCGAAAGCAGTAACTTTCCTCTACACTAGCAATAATTAGAAATTTTTGTTTTTAAGTAAACTTTACGCCCAATGTGGGGCTGGAACTCACAACCCTGCGATCAAGAGTCGCATGCTCCACCAACTGAGCTAGCGGGGTGACCCACAATAATCAGAAATTTTAATAGCAAAAAGTGTTTTCTGAGTATTAACTAAAAAATACAAAATGTCTTAGAATAGCCAATATTTGGGGAGGGGGGTGGGGGTTTGGGTGAGCCTGGTGGTGGGTATTAAGGAGGGCACATATTGCCTGGAGCACTGGTTGTGGTGCATAAGCAATGAATCTTGGAACACTGAAAAAATAAAATTTAAAAAATAAAATGCTAAAACAAAACAAAAAGAATAGCCAATATTCAAGACCTTTGGAATAAAACAATACTTTTTAAATTAACGATCATGAAAGAAAGCTGAGATAAATGGAATAATATATTGCTTAATAGGAAGATTCAAATTACAAGGATATAGATCTTTTCGTATTAGTTTTTAATTTTAATGTAATCCTTATCAAAATTTCTGTTGCATTTTTAAGGGGATTTCACAAGTTGAATCTTTAGTTCATCCAGAAGAGAAAATGCATAGGAATAGCCAAGAGTTATTGGAGGGAAAATTCTGCAGTAATAAAGGCAACTCCTTATCAGTTACCAATGTACACCAGCTCGACTGCTAACAGTTACAATAGCAAGGTATTGTTTTAGGACCAGAACATCGTCAGTGAAACCAACTTGACTCTGTTTCTATTGAGTCTATATAAAAAGTAGAGTAGGGGCACCATGTTGGCTCAGTTGGTGAAGCATCCAACTTTAATCTCAGCTCAGGTCTCAATACCGTGGTCGTATGTTCAAGCCCCGCGTCAGGCCCCATGCTGGATGTGGAGCCTGCTTAAAACAAGCAACCAACCAATGAAAGTGGCATAAGTACTGACTAGTAAATGGTGTTAGGGTAACTGGCTCCCCATTTGAAAGAAAATAAAAGTTAGACTTCTATTTTACAGCATTAACAAAAGTTGCAAGTGGCTTAAAGAGCTGAATGTAAAAAAAGAAAAATTTATGTAACTCTTAGGTACAGTAGATATATATTTTTAAATCTTGAGATGGTTAGGGCTGCCTTCATGGGACATAAAACTAAGAAGCCTTAAAGGAGGGGCGCCTGGGTGGCTCAGTGGGTTGGGCCGCTGCCTTCGGCTCGGGTCATGATCTCGGAGTCCTGGGATCGAGCCCCACATCGGGCTCTCTGCTCGGCAGGGAGCCTGCTTCCTCCTCTCTCTCTGCCTGCCTCTCTGCCTGCTTGTGATCTCTCTATCAAATAAATAAATAAAATCTTTAAAAAAAAAAAAAAAAAAAAAAGAAGCCTTAAAGGAGAAGATAGATTTGGCCACTAAAATAATTTATTGTGGGGCACCTAGGTGGCTCAGTAGATTAAGTGTCTGCCTTCAGCTCAGGTTGTGATCCCAGGGTCCTGGGAGGAGCCCTACATCGGGCTCTCTGCTCAGTGGGGAGCCTGCTTCTCCTCCCTCTGCCTGTGCTTTCTTATTCTCTTTCTTAAATAAATAAAATATTTTTAAAAATAATAATTTGTCATGACAAAAACAGTGAAATTTAAGAGATGAGATAATATTTGCAACGTAACTACAAAGGCTTTGTACTCCTATAAATCAGTAAGGGAAAGATAACCCAGTAGAACATGGGCAGATTTCCAAAGAAGAAATCATATCAAACTTGTTAATGCCCATAAGGTAAATGCACATGAGACCAACACAGTAAGGCTAGGAGTGTTCTGAGTCCTGGAGAGTAATAGGTAAGAATAAAAAAGAGTGTTATAATAAAGCTTCTTGTAACACAAAGTCACACCTTATCTATTTCTTTGTAAAACTGTGTTTTCAGTTATCAGATTTGTTTAAAGTAAGATAGACCAATAGTGAAGATTTCTTTTTTTTTTTTAAGATGTATTTATTTTTAAAGATTTATTTATTTATTTGAGAGAGAGCGCAAGAACACGAGCCAGGGGAGCAGCAGGCTGAGGCAGAGGGAGAGGCAGAAGCAGGCTCCCAGCTGAGCAAGGAGCCCAATAAGGGGCTCAATGCCAGGACCCTGGGATCATAACCTGAGCTGAAGGCAGCTGCTTAACCCGCTGAACCACCCAGGTGCCCCACTAGTGAAGATTTCTGCTTAACTTGTCAAGTCAGTTAGGAAGCCTGCCGGTCATTTTTGTGGGATGTTACTAGTGTATTAGTTAAACTTTTATATGTAAAATGAAATTCTCTTTGCACAACTGTCTTTCCCACACCTGTTGCTCAGAAAGCGTATAGCCCATTTTAATTTGTACTAGTATGTTAAATCATTTCAAATAACCAAATACACACCATATGTGGGCTTATTGTTCTACTTAGAGATCGAAATGGCTTCCAGAGGAAAGACAGAGACAAGCAAATTAAAGCAGAATCTAGAAGAACAGTTGGATAGACTAATGCAGCAATTACAAGATCTGGAGGAGTGCAGGTAATTGTCTAACCGAACGCTGCTCTGCTGTCCGGTGGCTTTTTCTCGGCCAGATTCTCGGCGGTGGGTGCAGGCCCATGTGTGATTTTGGTTTTCCCTGCCGTGTTCTTCACAGTGCTTTGAAGTAGAAATAGCAGCACCTACCTTGTCTCTCTTTAGTATTTAAAGTGGTCCTGCCTGGTATATACTTGACCTTCTAGTGTATTTTCAACCTTAACTGTTCAAAGGACCAAAACTGTTCATGGCCTTTTTCAACAGAGGTGAAAAAGAGGTGGTTGGAGGTATTTCAAATGAAGAGGCCAAAATGATGCTTGGCCCAGAATAGGTGCTCAAGAAATGGTAGCTGCCATCATTTGTAGTAAATGTTTAATAAATGGCTTGTTCACTTAGTGAATAAAAATAGCCTCTTGGCTAACTGATCATAATAAAAAAAAAAATAGCCTCTTCCTCAGGTGACAGGTAATACATTGCTGTTGTATTTCACGATGCACAAAATTTTACCTGCCACTAAGGATGGGGATAAAAGTACCCACTATTTTGTCAAGTACCTGTTGTTTGTCACGGACTTCCTATAGTTCATGTAATGCTCATAGCAGCCCTATAAGGTAGGTACTGTATCGTCTGTGGCTTATAGATCAAGAAACTGAGGCTTGGCTGTGTTAAATGTCTTGCCCAGGCTTATGCGTTGATTCATAGACGGCTTAAAAGGAAGTTGTTATGTGGTTTGTTGAGTGTGCCTCGTTTTGGTAAAAGAAAAATGTTTAATTATCAAAGTAACCACATTGCAGGAAAACGCCCATATTACCAACATCTGAACCCATCTGTTATTAGCATTTTGTCATTTCCTTTCAGCTTTGTTCCCGCAACATATTTTTTGTAAATATATGTAGCTGAAGTCTTGGGGTACAAATATTAAGATTGCTTTTTTCACTTGGAATTCTGTGCTTTTCTCTGTTATGTTCACTGCACTTCAGAGAGGAACTCGATACAGACGAGTATGAAGAAACCAAAAAGGAAACTCTGGAGCAGCTAAGTGAATTTAATGATTCCCTGAAGAAAATCATGTCTGGAAATATGACTCTGATCGATGAACTAAGTGGAATGCAGCTGGTAAGCATAATTTACTTACACTGGTGACACAGGTGGTTTTCTCTCTTTTTTAGTAAGTATGTTTAAAATAGAAAAAAACTCTGGGGGTTTGACTTCTAGATGAGTGCTGAGTCTCTGCATACAGGTAGAGCAGCATAAGCTTCCAGATCTTCATTTAGGTATGTATTTGGCTCCAGTGACATGCGCAGAAATAGCAAAAGGAAACTAATTTTTTTTTTAATTTAAATTTTAGGTAGTTAACGTACAGTGTGATGTTGGTTTCTGGAGTAGAATTCAGAATTCAGTGATTCATCACTTATGTATAATACCCAGTGTTCATCCCAACATGTGCCCTCCTTAACACCCATCACCCATCTAGCTCGTCCGCCACCCACCTCCCTCCCATTTATCATTTATCAATGATAAATGATTCTTTATCATTAGGAATCTCTTCTGGCTCTTTTGCCTCTTTCCTTATTTCCCCCTTCCCATATGTTCCTCTGTTTTGTTTCTTAAATACCATATATGAGTGAGATCCTGTGGTATTTGTCTTTCTCTGACTGACTTATTTCATTTAGCATAATACACTCTAGCTCCATCCACATTGTTACAAATTTTATGATTTCATTCTTTTTGATGACTGAGTAATATTCTGTTTTATATATATATATATATATATACACACACACACACACACACATATTATATATGTGTATGTATGTGTGTATATATACATATATGTGTGTGTATATACACACACACACACACACACACACACATCCCTTTTTTCCATTCATCAGTTGTTGGATATTTGGGCTCTCTCCATAGTCTGGCTATTGTTGCTAATAATGCTGCTATAAACATTGGGGTGCATGTATCTCTTGAAATCTGTATTTTTGTGTCTTTTGGGTAAATACCTAGTAGTGCAATTGCCGGATCGTATTGTAGTTCTATTTTTAATATTTTGAGGAACCTCCATACTGTTCTCTCAAGTGGCTGCACCAGTTTGCATTCCCACAGTACAAGAGAGTTCCCCTTTCTCCACATCCTTGCCAACATCTGCTGTTTCTTGTGTTGTTAATTTTAGCCATTCTGGGGCTCCTGGGTGGTTCAGTCATTAGTTCTCTGCTCTGCCTTCAGCTCAGGTCATGATCCTGGGGTCCTGGGACTGAGCCCCTTGTCAGGCTCCCTGCTAAGCAGAGAGCCTACTTCTCCCTCTCCCACTCCCCCTGCTTGTGTTCCCTCTCTTGCTCTCTCTTGCTTTCTGTTAAATAAATAAATAAAATCTTTAAAAAAAAAAATCTAGCCATTCTGACAGGTGTGAGATGGTATCATCATGGTCTTGATTTGTATTTCCCTGATGATGAGTGATGGTGAGCATCTTTTCATGTGTCTGTCAGCCACCTAGGTGTCTTCTTTGAAATAGTTTCTGTTCATGCCTTCTGCCCATTTCTTAACTGGGTTGCATGTTTTTTTGGGTGTTGAATTTGTTAAGTTCCTTGTAGATTTTGGATCCTAACCCTAATCGGATACATCGTTTGCAAGTACCTTCTTCCATTCTGCAGGCTGCCTTTTGGTTTTATTGACTATTTCCTTTGCTGTGCAGCTTTTTAGTTCATTTTTGCTTTTGTGGAAACTAAAATTATAACAATATTTGATGAACAAGGAAGACCTATTTGTACTTGAGGACTCGCCAATCAATTATTGTAATATTTAATTCATTGGACTATTTTGTTCAGTTTTTACCTTTCTGTATTCTAGGCTATCCAGGCAGCTATCAGCCAGGCCTTTAAAACCCCAGAGGTCATCAGGTTATTTGCAAAGAAACAACCAGGTCAGCTTCGGACAAGGTTAGCAGAGGTAAAGTTTCTTCAATTTTATTTAATTGCTGGGTATATTTGTTTTCTCAGCTCCAGAATTTCATTATGTTATTCTGAAATTTAAAAATCAGTCAGTTGAGAATGTGTAACACCACCACGAGTAAACCCTAATGTGTACACTATGGAAGTGGGGGATTATGATGTGTCAGCATAGGTTCAGCTGTTGTAACAAATGAGCCACTCTGGTGGGGCATGTTTATGATGGGGAGGCTATGCCTGAGCAGATGTGAGGGGTGTACGGGAAATCTTTGTACCTTTCACACAATTTACTGTGAACCTAAAACTGTTCTGAAAAAATTAGTCTGTTAGAAAAAAATTGATTGGTTGATTTTTTTTTTAAGATTTTATTTATTTATTTGAAAGAGAGAGTAGAAGCAGGGGGAGAGAGAGGGAGAAGCAGACTCCCCACTGAGCAGGGAGCCTGATGCAGGGTTCGATCCCAGGACCCTGGGATCATGACCTGAGACGAAGGCAGACGCCTAATGGACTGAGACAACGAGGTGCCCCCGATTTTATTTTTAATATTTATTTATTTATTTTAGAGAGAGAGAATGTGGGAAGGGGCAGAGGGAGAGAGAAACCTTAGCAGACTCCTCCCTGAGCTTGGAGCCCAACGCAGGGCTTGATCTCACATGCCTGAGATCATGACCTGAGCCGAAACCAAGAGTCAGGCCTTTAACTGACTTTGCCTTGCAGGGGCCCCTGATCAGTTGATTTTAGAGCCACAACGCATAGTTTTCTGACAGAATTAGTCTTTAGAGCAATTATTATTGGTAATGAATATGGAGGTTTAAACAGCATATGACAGTTAAAAGTGCTACTAACTGCTTCTACTTGGACCCCACCTTTAAGGTTTTACCATGCACTTGGAGCCCTGAATTGAAATTCCAGCAAGAATCCATTAGCGATATTGCTCTCTGTGTACGTGGCCTTTGTTATCTAAGAATTTCAAACATCTCTATAAACCTGGTACTTGAGAAAGTCTATTTATAGACTTGAATATAATTAAGACATTAACAAGTTGTTTGCAACCACTGGTAATTCAGTAGCGTAGTGGTTAGAGCACAAACGTAGGTCAGACTGGCAGGATTGGTATTGCTGCTCTACTGTGAAGGTAGGTGACCTTGGGAAGCTTTTTTTTTTTTTTTTTTAAAGACTTTAGGGGCGCCTGGGTGGCTCAGTTATTGAGTGTCTGCCTTCGGCTAAGGTCATGATCCCAGGGACCTGGGATGAAGACCTATGTCAGGCTCCCCACTAAGAGAAAGCCTGCCTCTCCCTCTCCCACTCCCCTGCTTGTGTTCCTTCTCTCGCTGTATCTCTCTCTGTCAAACAAAGAAATAAAATATTTAAAATAAATAAATAATATTTTATATTTTATATATATTATAGTTATATTTATATATATTACATTTATATCTATATTATAAATAAATAAAGAGTATTTTATTTATTTATTTGACAGAGACAGCAAGAGAGGGAAATAAGAACGGGGGAGTGGGAGAGGGACAGGCTTCCTGCTGAGCAGGGAGCCAGATGCAGGGCTCCCTCCCCACCTAAAATTAGTAAATCTTTAACTTAAAAAAAGGGGGGGATGCCTGGGTGGCTCAGTGGGTTAAAGCCTCTGCCTTCGGCTCAGGTCATGATCCCAGGGTCCTGGGATGGAGCCCCACATTGGGCTCCCTGCTCAGCAGTGAGCCTGCTTCCCTTCCTCTCTCTCTGCCTGCCTCTCTGCCTGCTTGGGATCTCTCTCTGTCAAATAAATAAATAAAATCTTAAAAAAAAAGAAGAAGAAGAAGAAGTAGTAGTAGTAATTCTGGGGGCACCTGGCTGACTTGGTCAGAAGAGCATGCAACTCTTGCTCTCAGGGTTGTGCGTCCGAGCCCCATATTGGGTTGCGGGATTACTTTAACAACAAAAAAAAAGTAGCAGTAGTAGATCTGAAAAGCTGGATTTTATGGGCAGAGTGTTTTTAATTTAAGTACCATGTACTTTGCATTCATCCGTTTCAGATGGACAGAGATCTCATGGTAGGGAAGCTGGACAGAGGCCTGTACATGCAACAGAAAGTGGAGATACTAACAGCTCTCAGGAAACTTGGAGAGAAGGTACCTGTATTTAATTTAATATTAAATTAAAAGGTATGAAGTGTCTGGTACAGAACTTCTTGATCTGTGATCCAGTTTGTGGTCCTGAGACATTCCTAACCGTGTTTCTTAGAACCACTTGTTAACATTTGAATCCACTCCCATGGGCTTAGTTTTGTTTTGTTTGGTTTAGCTGACTTCGGACGATGAGGCCTTCCTGTCAGCAAATGCAGGTGCTATACTCAGCCAGTTTGAGAAAGTCTCCACAGACCTTGGTGAGTACCCTCGTAGTTGTGCAAGCCGAGCGTGTGTTACTGCTCCAGGTCACTGTATACCATGGGTGAGATAACAGGATGGCCTTTTCTTGAGTTAAAAGGTAAAACCAGAAGTGTTTTCTCTATAAATCCCTTTTATTGGGTTTATTTCCTAATACTTTTTACTTAAAAATAATTAAATCAATATAACCTAGTATTTTAAAAATACTTGTCAACTAAAAGTAAATATAAAAGTAAAGTAAACTCAAATTTTATATATTCCATTTTTCATTTAAAGCTAGAATGAGGATTTGTAGGCAGTAAATCACCTCATGCATGTCAGATGTTTGTGCAGGAGAAAGCAATTGGGAATCGGCACTGGGAAGGTTTGAGGCAATGCTCTGGTAATACAAGCTAATTTCACTGGGAAGGTTTTGAGGCAATGCTCTGATAATTCAAGCTAATTTCATTTCCTGTTTCATTATCTATGGGAGAGATTTTCCCCTTGGTACCTACAATTATAAATGCACATGAAATAACCTTTTGTCTATCACGTGTCTTTCTCCTTAGGCTCCGGAGACAAAGTTCTTGCATTGGCAAGTTTTGAAGTTGAAAAAACAAAGAAATGACATGGTGTGGAGGCTTGAGACACTGATCACATTCTTGCTGTAAATGGCATTTGTCTTCTAGGGGTTTTGAATCATTGCAAAGAAATCAACAGATTCTTGAAATGCACTGATAACCTAAGAAAAGGTGACAGGAAAACATACTTGTGGCTTCTGGTTATACCCTTCATCATTGTGCTTTGTGTAGGGCTGCCCGCCTCAGTCATCCCAGACTTGTTGGGATGAGAGACCCGTTAGACCTTATTCATTATGGCTTGTGTGTTTCTTTAGAGAGAACAGAAAACAGTTTCTCTGCCTGTTTTTATTAAGCTTCCTTGTTTTTAAGTGCTGACAGTAAATGAAAAGATGTGAACTAAGGATTATTTTTGCTTATAATTTATCCCCACTTATTGGAGTGAAGAGTGTACCAACATCAGTCGACCTCATGTGTGTTCATAGAATTTGAGTTCTAAGTGATCTTAGAAATCCTTTTCATTTTATAAACGAGAAAGCTGAGGCTCAGAAAGAACAAGTTGACTTGCTCCAAGTCTCATCCAAGACAAAGCTGGTGATAAGACTTGGGTGTTCTGACTCTCAGCTTTGTGTCCATTGAGTTTTATTTCTGTATTTTGTGCTGTTTTTAAAAACGAATTAACACATATTTGGGCAAGTCTGTGTTTATGAAAAATTCAATGTCCCAACAGAAAGTTGTCACTAAGGGACCTTTCCCCAGCCTGTGAGGCCTCCTTATGAATGGGGCCCATTGTATCTCTGAGTTTTGAGCTTGGAACAATGGGAGCCCTGTTGAGAGTCTCCTGGAGTAACTTAACCTCCTGCCCGTTGTTTCACCAGGGAAGCAATTGAGAGTGGCAGCTAGAGGCCCTCCATGTGTGTGACCTCTTTGCTGAAACCCAGAAGGTGGTGACTGTAAACTATTACTTATTACTCTTGAGTTTGCGGAGTAACACAAAATAAGTTACGAGGAAAAGCGTACTCTTGAGTTTATGTTTCTCTGCATGCTCAAATACGGAGATCTCCCCGTGCATGTGTATGTTAGCTTATAGTCTAGCCTCTGGCCACTTTATATTTTTTCATATATTTCTCAGTTTTCTTTTTCTTTGCACTTTATACAAATTTAAAACATTTTTAAAGCTTCTTGTATACTGTAAACTCTACTAGGTGCTCTGCCAACTGGACAAATTAGGGACCTCAGCTTCGTTAATGCCTTATTTGGAACTTTTAATGGGTAACTTTTTATATATGGGTTTACGCCAGTCAAAAACTCATTGAAATTGTGACAAACCAAGAAGAAGCAAATGATCTGCTATTCATCTAGGACATTATGGTCAATCATCATTTCATTATTCGGCATTTTTTTGTTTGTTTGTTTTATTAAGTAATCGCTACACCCAATGTGGAGCTTGAACTCATGGTCTGGAGATCAAGAGTCGCACACTCTGCTGACTGAGCCTTCCAGGCACCCCTATTCTACAATTTTTTTTTCAATCAAGGTGACACTCACATAACATAAAATTCATCATTTTAAAGTGTACAATTCAGGGTGTTTAATACAGTCACAATGTTGTGCAACTATCACCATCTCATTCCCAAAACATTTTCACCACCCCAAAGGAGACCCCGTGCCCTCCTCTTTATCCTAGCCCTCCAGCAACCACTAATCTGCTTTCTGACTCTGTCACTGGGTTTACCTATTCTGGGTATTTCGTAGCAATGGTCCTACAGTATGGGACCTTTTGTGTCTGGCTTCTATCACTTAGCGTCGTACTTTCAAGGTTAATCTAAGTTGTAGCACATACAGCACTTCATACCTTTTAATGGCTGACAATACTTCCCTGCATGGATACCACACTGTGCTTATCCATTTATCTCTTGAACATTGTTTTTTTCCCACTTTTTGGCTATCGCAGATAGTACTGCTATGAACATCTGTGTAATTCTGTTTAAATACCTGTTTTCAGCTCTTTCGGGTATATACCTAGGAATGGAATTGCTGTCTGTATGTGTATTTGGAGGGATTTCTTTGTTTTGTTTTTTTAAGCCATAACATGATTCCCCCTTTCCCTCCAGTAGTAGGATAAGGAAAATTAGGAATATTTGGTATTTGAAAAGGGCCTCCATGAATCCAGAGTCCTTAATTTTGGTTTCTCTTACACTTTCTGTAAGACTAACATCAGTGAAATGTTTTATCGTTAATCACATTAGTGTATTCATTTTGTAAGTAATGATTAGTACTCAACTTAAAATTAATCTTCCTTTAAAAGTTGCAAAGTTAAAAAAAAAGTCGCCAAGTTTGCAGTGCCTCGCAAGACACTGTCATTCCTGGCCATGCGACGTTTGGTAGGTCACTTAATCTTTCCGAGCCTCATTTTCCTCTTCTGTTCCATGGGGATGAGTGGGTAGGACCTACGTACCACATAGGATTACTGTGGATTCCCCTCTCTTCCTTAATGCAGAAAAAAGTTTTGCATTGGAGCTAATCTACTGTTAAACAGTTCTTTCAAGGGCCATATGATAGGTTTTGTTCCACAAATTTGGTATAATTCAGAAAAATAAAATGAATAATTTGAAAATTCTGTATAATTATAGTTATTAAATGATTTGCAAACCATGTTTCCTGTTCATATTTTACTATATTTAATTTCCTGGTTTTTTCAACTTCTTGGGAGGTTTGCAATAACTAATGGTAAGGCAGCTCACTTTTTGCTATCCTTAGGTCAAGCTAATATTTTAATGAAAAGAATTCCTGCATTTTTCAAAGAACTGGGGTTGAAGCAAAAGTAAATTCCAATGAGCAAGTGTACAACTGGGCTGTTTAATAAAAGTTAATAAATTAAAACAATTTCTAGGGGCACCTGTCAGTCTAGTGCGACTCCTGATCTCAGGTTTATAAGTTCAAGTCCCACATTGGGTATAAACATTCCTTTAAAATAAAGTCTTTAAAAAAATTTAAAAAAAGAAAATTTCTATGTTCCAATCCTTTGTGTTTTCCTGTGAGTGGTAAGATAGGTATGCTGGGTGGGTGGGTGGTAAAGGAGGAAACCAAGCAGTAGAATGAATTGTTCCCAGGAAGGAGTTGGAGTTGAGACAGATAGATTGTTAACTTTGATTGTTAGGCATTTTTTTGAAGACGGCTCTGCCAAAGAACAGTCATCTTAGGCAAAATAAAAGACTGTACAAATCCACCACTGGTTGGTATCTTATTACAGTGAGTGATGGATAGTTTGAAATTATTACAGAAAAAATAAACCCAGACCATTTTGCCCAGGGCTTTTCAACCACTTTCCTGTCTGGGTGGTTTTTTTGTCCTCCCCCCCCCTTCCCCTTACTCTATTCATTACTAAGGCCAAAGAATGCCCTTCTTTGCGTCTCAAAATGTTTTTCAGCATTAATATGTAAATTAAAACTGTCAGCATTCCCACAGACCCCCATGAACACATGGGAATTGCTTCCACTCTGTTTAGCCCTGGAATTAAAAAGATTTAGAAACTGGGTTAACTAGTATTTAATATTTTCATTAAATTACAAAAAACAGGTTAAAAATATGGTTCTTCTAGATATTCCCCTGGAGTGTGGCCTTTTGACATCCTAACTCACTTTGTTTTTGAAGTCTCTCTCCCTGCCCTACTGCAAGGAGACTAAGCTGCTGAAAGCCTCTTGCCCACCGCGCCGCTGCACTCTCAAGAGTTTCGGCAGAGAGTCTGCTGTCCACGCAGAGGCACAGGGAAGCTGGGAGGTTTGAGGCTGTCCGCTGGAAGCCTCGTAGTGCTTGGTGGTTTTCCTCTGGGAAAGACCATATTCCTTATGGCCTCACAATGGACTGTAATTAAAAATAACTAAGCAAGTAAAATTATTTTCTGTAAAGAAGGTGAAGGAGAGCGGGACACCTGGGTGGCTCAGTCGGTTAAGCATCTGCTGTGGTGATCCCAGATCCTAGAATCGAGTCCCGCATCAGCCTCCTTGCTCTGCAGGGAGCCTGCTTCTCCCTCCACCACTCCCCCTGCTTGTGTTCGCTTCTGCCCTCACTCTCTCAGACAAATAAATAAATAAAATCTTAAAAAAAAAAAAAAAAAAAAAAGGTTAAGGAGAGTCACCAGTTTTTTGTTTTTTGGGTTTTTTGTTTTTGTTTTTGTTTTGAGTAAAGAGGAAGATTAGGTAAGGGTTTTCCCTAAGATAATGCACCAGCCACAGATCTCTGCCCTCAGTGTCTGGCCACTTTGGGAACTTTGGAAGTCTTCCCACAAGAACCTGTGACTTTGTGTTACAGTCATAATTTCAATACATGATTTAAGAGCTTAGGTTATCTCGATTATGTATGTTTACTCTAAACCATCTGAGTAGTCTTCATTACTGCTAAATTGTCATTGTGAGGCTGTTCTTTTCCTTAAGAGAATTTAAGGATTTTTTTTTTTTTTTTTTTTTTTGCTTATGTGAAAACCTGGTTCTTTCAGGCCTGACATCACTCCTCCAACACACATAAACCATACCAAGTTGAAACTGAGGTTGTTACCTGCCATGGTAATCAAAGAAGTAGGTAATTAGTGGGGGCGCCTGGGTGGCTCAGTGGGTTAAAGCCTCTGCCCTTGGCTCAGGTCATGATCCCAGGGTCCTGGGATGGAGCCCCGCTTAGGGCTCTCTGCTCAGCGGGGAGCCTGCTTCCTCCTCTCTCTCTCTGCCTGCCTCTCTGCCTACTTGTGATCTCTGTCAAGTAAATAAATAAAAAAATCTTTAAAAAAAAAGTAGGTAATTAGGTAAAAGCAAGTATTTGGCCTAGATTAGATTATACCCGATTGCCTTAACCCTGTGATTTGACCATGATCTTAGAAAATTTGGTGCTTTTACTACTTCATGTATTTAAACTTTTTTTTTTTAGATTCTATTTATTTATTTGACAGACAGAGATCACAAGCAGGCAGAGAGAGAGAAGGAAGCAAACTCCCCGCTGAGCAGAGAGCCCAATGCCGGGCTCAATCCCAGGACCCTGGGATCATGATCTGAACCAAAGGCAGAGGCTTAACCCACTGAGCCACCCAAGTGCCCCCCCCTTTTTTTAACTTTTTTTTAAAGATTCTATTTATTTACTACTTCGTGTATTTAAAAAGAAAAGAAACTTTCTTATCACAAGTTTTACATCAAGTTTAATCTAGGTTTTGGTAGATTATAACTGATTTGGGTTATAAACCTCATTGTTTATACTCCTTTATTTAAATGTTTTGTGTCATATTTACTCAGGAAAGGAGCATTTGTACTTTATGAGCAAACAGGTAAAATCTCAGTCCATTAGCTTTGGTCTTGTGGCATTTCTTTTCATGCTGTCTTGTCGAATTTTGAGTGGTCTGTTCCTCCAAGAAAATACCATG